TATATATATATATATATATATATATATATATTGTTGGAAATAAGGATGCCTGTATGATTTATTCAAGCGTTATTATGTTCGAGAATTTTGATTTGGAAAAATTGTATTCTTCTATGTTGGAACATTTAAAATATTTCTGTGTTCCACTCAGTTTGCAGGTGTTTCCCATTTTTATTGCTTTATTAAGTTGTGGATTTTATTCATTTACATTTTTTTATGCTTAACTTAGCAGGTTTTTAAAAATTGGTAAGTTAACATGTCAAAAGTTCAGGATGAATTTTTTAGCTCAAAATAAAAGAATGCTTTTGAACAAAATCAGGCATTGCTGCAAAAGTCAGCTATACTAAAGTAGATGCTTTTATATTGTGTTAATCATAGAATTATGAATAGTTTCCCATCATTTGTGGACTGTTTGCCAGCTAGGGAAAAACTGCAAGTTGGTCAATTTGTTTTATTTAGTTACATATTTAATTCTCCATTCTTATCTTTATATTTTGAATTTATCGTATTAAGGCAATATTTTTCATTTTTTAAATTACATAAAAAAGCAAAATTTTGAGATTCAACAAAAGTTATTTTCATGTGTTAAATTTTATGTATGTTCTAGTAAAAATTGAATTTGAGTTTTATGTAAACTACTGCAGAAATATTTAAGTCCTGGCTAGTTATAGTACAGCAAATTAACAATTTGGTGTGATTGATTTGTGCCTGAACATTGTGTAAATTTAGACATGAGGCATTGAGTTGGTTAAGCAGTGATCAATGACGCGGTAAGACACTTGAAAATCTCATTTCATAGTGTAAATTCAAATAACATTGCAATATTGAAAAATTTGGTGCAGAAATACTTCTTGACAATAAGTGTAATTAAAAGTATTAAATTAATGAAAATAATTTTTTTTTATTATTGGGGGGTAATGTCACCTTTGGTTTTAATTACGTTTAGGGGCTGTATTTTAAATTAATTTTCTTTCAGAATAACAATGGTGTCACTCATTTTAATTTCTAGTGTGAAAAGTTTTTAGAGTACTGAAATTCCATAGGGGTACACATTTCTTTTTAATGTTGCCACTAAAATTTAGGTGAGAGATGTCTGTGCTCCAGAGAATATTAAATACTCAATCTTATTAAGGCTCGAAAGTCAATGCTGTATCAAATGGAGTAATATGCTTTTAACATTTGTAACATACGCACCACAGCTAATGAAATATGCTTTAGCAATTAAGTTTTATGTATTCATGAACAATCACTAAAGTTTTAATTTTAACAATTAATTTTGCATTTTTGTCTCCACTTAGGATTAAAGTGAAAATTTTTGAAGTAAGAAATAATGATTTTTTCTATATCGTTGAAGAACCACTAATGCTACAAATTCTTTATCGAAGATAAATCATCAAATCATTCATAATTGGACAAGTTGTTTTTGGGTACCAGTGCTGTAATATCTAAAAGAAAATAAGACAAATATTGCTGCAACAAATGAGACATTCCCTCGATTTCTCAGACAAAAACACATATAAATTGTTATTCCAAGAGAAGTATGTCACATTTAGAACTAAATGCAATAAAATATGAATAATAACATACAGATCAAGAAAATATGATGCATTAACACAAAATATGCTAAATATTCTGTATGAAATATTTTTTTTTAGTTTTATCGAAGTCTGATAACATGATTAAAATTAAAAAAATAAAAATAGAGTACCGACTTCAATTTTTGCTCTTTATTTATTCATACAAATTGCTTAATAAGAACCCTGTGAACTTTTTTTTACATACAGTAACTAACAAACATTCGTAAAATCGTTGAAAAGTTAGCATATTATATACACATTTCTTTATTTAATTATCAATATTTCTAGGTAAAATAACAAAACTTTTAATAATATATTTAGACACTAAAATATATAGTACAAAGTACATATTGTACATAAATGAACAATACTTAACTTTTCCTTTTATATTGGGAAATATCATCTTGATTTAAACATATTGATTCATTACAGAATTCACAGTAGAGTACTCGATATTATGCATAGGCTCGATATTATGCCTAGTAGAGTAGTTATTATATTAAGCTGACTTAATTTTCAGCTTAGGCAATAGTAGCAAGGAAGAGGCTGATCTTCAAAAGTAGCTGCTATTGAGTTGCATTTTGGAACAGGTTTTAGATTTTTTTGGTATATAAATACCGCTATGCCAAGTATATACTATGTTATTACAGTGTTCCAGAAGGCCATTTTTGTTAAAACATGTGATTTATTTCTGTGTTATGAGGTTTTTTGATATGGATGAGAGGGGAAAATATGGATGACCTCTGAAAGAAGATAACGAAAATTTATATTTACTATGTCTTTCAGAAACTTTTGTACTACATGTCAAGTCAATTTTGCTGTATAATACTGTATTTCAATTGTAATATTTTTAAATATAATATTTTTCATGAATATAAAGTATAGAAACGTTTTCACAAATATGAATAAATATAAATGAAGTTAACCATGGTTTACATCATTGAATTTAAAAATGTTATTTTGGTTAAATTGCAATACTAACTAAATTTTAAATTGTATTATATGTACAAAGATGGAATGGGTATAAAAATTGAGAAAAAATTAGACAAACACAAATACATTTCACAATTTTGATGCAAAATGGATGAATTTTATTCCAAGTAAATAGAAGTTTCTTCATAATGATGTTTGTGATAGATGAATTGTTCCATAGACAATAATAATGATAATAGTAAATTAACATCTATTTAGAAAAGCATTGCACTGTATTTCACCTATTCATTATAAATTATTTACTGTTAGTTTACAGTGATGTTAGGTTCAATTAAGACTTTGAAAACTGTCAAAATTGTACAAAACTTAAAAGAATCAAAAGTGGAGTTTGCATCCTATTTCACTCAAAATTGTATAAAAACTTCAGGTTAAAAAGTATAGCTTTTATTATAGCACCAATTGTGGAGAAATAATTTCATTTTAAGAAAAAAATCTGCCTTCAATATTGTAGTTGAACAAAGATTCCAACATCATTTCAAGCTTTTGTAATTTTCGAAAAATGTGTGCGAAATTCATACCTATGACATATTTATAAGTATATTTCACCTTATTGTTACAAGAAAAAAATACAAAATAGCGGGGCTTTGAGTCGGTGCAGATTGACTGGTAAATATTAGATTATTTCATCCTACTAGTCATCACATATGTGGTAAAAGTTATTTTTATATAATACAGCCCAATAGTACAATACATAAAGAAACAAAATGGCTTCTCTATGGAAGCATATTTAACTTCACACGTACTTACCACAAGCTGTCTTTCAACCCACTAAATCAGATTAATAAATCTTCAATACACTTCTCTGAGACTGCCAATGCTTCCATATGATGGCATTAGCGCAATTACACCCTAATCCATGTTTTTGGAAGATTTGCGTCTATGGTAATTGCTGCTTAAATTGAGTGTGTAAGAGTTTGTGTGTTCTCATATATATTATTCTCAGCGATTCCAGGAAGCTATGTTGCACTCTGCTTGTGATTACATTACTTTGTCCAAAACAATCACAATAGTGTCAATTTTATTAATAGAACTTCTACCTAGCATATGGAATAATAATAAATAATTCATAAATAATATTAATAGTTAATTCAACCAGGATTGTAATGAAAGATTTAATGACTGGCTGATTTTATACCACCTATGTACCACCAATTTTAGATAGATTTGTCCAGGAAGAGTACATTCAGGTGTATCAAGTTTTCAAAATACTGTATAAGATTTTTTGCGCAGTGAGTCTGCATTTCTTTTATTAAATATTCATTTCACGTTTTTAAAGTATTGAAAAATATAAACTATATTCAGCTTGTAGTTTCTTTTGACTTCTAACCTCTGCCCATGATCACTTTTTTGGGTTCTCAATATTTAATTCAAATTCAGGTTCCGTCCAGTCAATGCACGTGTTATGTAGAACACTGTTTGTCATTATAAAATAAGATGCTCTTTTGACTTGGTGGAAGTCTGAAATGCTCTTTTGGTAACCCAAAAGCATTCTCAATTTTTAATCTTGTTTTTGTGCTTTATTATATTTTCTTTTCTCAATATCTGGTTATCTGTAATATGGTATTAATGACATTGGTGTAAGGACAAGAAATTGCAAGGGGTACTCTGTGGTATTAGGTACTTACGCATCTATATAAAGTATCTATACAAAGACTACCATTTACAGCATCTGCTGTAGGATTTGTTGGTTTAATCCAATCCACTTTTTCCATAGCAGATTTCCGAGCTTTGTTTTTTTTGTTTTTGTCACTATTATACCTTCTACATTCTATCCTCCAATCCATTGCGAAATCTGGCTACAAATAACAATTATTTGGATAGATTATGTTGAGTCAAAACAATTCATCAAACTCATACAATTTTATAGTCTAATAGGGAAGTTCACATATTGAGCATTTAGTTACAGCTCTAGTATTAAATGCATCAATAATGCCAATAGGTTGGAGTACTATGTTTTTGTATTTTGAATACATGTATTCAAGACTTGCAAGAGAAGACTAATGAGAGAAAGATTATACGGTACTCCAGATAGGAAACTTGAGAAAATATGAAAAGTTGATCAATTAAAAAAAATGCAGGTATATGCATTTCTTTGATGACATTCAAATACCAATCGTTTGAATTTTGTTTTTGCATTCTTGAATTTGCTCTTGGTTACGAAGTGTTCAAAAATTAGAGGAAAAAATCTATTATAAATCTTATCTTTTAGTTAACTAAATATGCTCATTAATTCCATGAAAAATCATTGATTATTACTGTGTTTATGGCATATGTGCAATTAAGTCCACAACAGCCAATCAGAACTCTGAAAAATGATGCATATCTTTTAATTATGCATCTACAATACACACCAGATGGTTATGAAACATTAACAAAAATGTTTACTTCACCTATGACTGCCCAGAGAGAGAAGTTGTGGGCAAAACTCCCTAATTTTGTTTGGAAAGTCAAGTAAACTGGTTATAATTTGATATCAACATTTTCCCTTACATGCCATGTCAACATAAACAAGTATAAGTGTTCTCTCATACATGCCCTTCCTTTTCGGACGTAGTAAAGCTTTCATGGCTTTGTCAGATTGTAATACTTCAACCGGAATACATCAAAATTTTCCATTTTCAAAGTAATTATTCAACACAATTATTCTCTTAAGACAGTGATCATACATATACACAGCAAGGCCTAATGAAATAGATCCTGTTTAAAAACAAGATGACATCATCAGATACTGACTTCTAATGGTAAAGATGTGATTAAATATCTCAAAATTAAAATTATCCTTTAATGGAAATGAAAAAATATTGAATGTAACGTGTGGATAAGGGGACACTCAGGTTAATAAGAAAATTGTCCTATCATCGCTAGTTTCTTTGAACATACCATTCATGCCATTATACCACTCTTTATGCACTTGTTTCATTAATTACTACAATATACAAATTAAATAAATACAAAATTTAATATACAAAGTCTAAATATGAGATTTCAACTAGCAACAGTAGTTCTATTTTTAAAAGTTCTGAGAATTAACATTGATCGTCCTTACATTCACTTGTAGATTTCATTGTTGGTTCCTTACTATGCTGAAGCATAGTTCCTAGGTTATCAACCATTACATAACTCTAATGCAATTGATGCTTACATGAGGAAATCAGCTGTGCATAAAATGGTAGCGCTAGTGAATGAAGTCTCAGAAAAAGGGTATTGACAATTTTGCAGACTCAATTTCCATATTGTGTCAAGAGATTCAGAATATTTTTAGTCCATTATCCTGTAAAGATTTTTGTATCAAATTGTTCTACAAATATATATGTATATATGTAAACAGAATCCCCTAAATGCCTGCAGTTCATGATGATAAAATGTATGCCTTGTATTATACTTCCAAATAAAAAAATAGATGACGGTTCAATACCTTTCTAGTGCATTTCCATATCAATGTGTATAGACTTCAGGTAAATTGGTATTTATTCTTTCACAGAACAGGTGATAAATGTACTTTTGAATAATTCTGCATTCAAACAGTTCCTTTCTGGTTTTAGTGCCTCTTCTTGATCAACCACTTGAATTATCTGGAACTCGTGAAAGGAAGAAAGTTAATCGGTTTAGCGAAGAATACAAAACAGAGCCAAAAGATTCTGCTCCTTTGGAAATTCCGGAAGGAAGTGGTACCCTGTTGGGGAGTATTCCTCGCATAGAATCAAATCTCCAGGTGAACCTTAAAATATAATATTTCATAGAGATGTTGTGATTAGTTGAATAATAACTTCAATGTTTTGATTGCTTCTTATATAGATGTGCTCACACAAGACCATGCTTGCTTTTGCTTGGGCACATTTGCTCACTTGCACAAGCTTGTTAATGATCAGATGTTGACACACATACTTGAGTATGAGCACACTTTCTCATGCAAGTGTGTTTTACATGTGTGCACAAGCACTAGTGCACTTACTTGCAGGATCGCGGAAGTTTTGAATTTGAACAATATTAATTTCACTCAAATTACAGGAATTACTGTATTCATTTCTGATAATGCATAAGTAAACTATGATTATGTTTTTGATTTTCAGAGATCAAAACCAAGCTCGTTGAAACCTCTTCACAAGCTTCTTTTCAACAGAGCTGGGAGAGCCTCTTTATTGAAGAAAAACATTAGGAAATTCAATGGATTTGACTTTGATAAGGATTCTGATCAGTTTGTGAAGAAAAAACAAACTCTTTTGAAGTGAGTTGGTTGTTTTTTGTTATTTTGATAATCTGTTGTGAGAGATTATTCATCAATAAATAATCAATTATATTTAAATTTATTAAATGGGTTAATATTACTATGGAACTTGTTGCTTTAATTCTTTTGTTTTTAGGTATGATATGAAGTCTTTGAAAGAATTGTGCTCCATTATGGATTTAAAGATATCACTAAAACGTGATGAACTTGCTGAGACGCTTATGAATTTTCTTCTAAAACCTGAAGATTCTGGTAAAGGTGCTAATATTAAGCCACGTCCTAAACGTACTGCTCGTGCCAACAATAAGACTTATTCAGAGTAAGTATAGTGTTGTTATAGAATTTTTTTTTTTTTTTTAGGTTTGCGTAGGTGGGACTAGTATGAAAGTAATTATCAAGTATTTAAAGATGAAGATAGTAGTAACAAAAATGATTATAATTATTTTTATAAGGAATAAGAAAATACTGACTTAACTGTGTCAAATCAATTTTCGAGTTAATAACACAATTTGTGATTCATTTTGACTGAATTTGTTAAAAACGAGAGGGAAGGAATTTCCAGAGGCCTTTTCAGAATTAGGGGTTGTCTTATATTCAGGTAAATTCGGTAATATTATGATTAGACAATGTGGTGGATAAACATAACAGGTCCTTGCTGTTTAAGATTCAAATCAAAATTTGTTACAGTTTGCTACATTCCATTATCAAGTGTCAAAATATAGTTGCACAGATGTAAATCTAAACAATTAGGATATTAGTGATATGGGACCTTTAGTCAAGAGTCCAAAAAATAAATTCTCAATATTATGGTAGATAATTAACTGTTATTGTCAAGAAAGGATTAAAATTTACATAATATTTTATTATTTTAAATGAATTGATTTATTCTATATTTTCTTAACAGATCTGATGACGAACAAGAGGAAAGAAAATCATCGCGCCGGGGTAAAAAGAAACTTGTTAGTTTAAAGGAAGCGTCTTCAGAAGATGAGGATGAGGATGATGAAAAAGATAAGGCAGATAAAAAGGATGCGGAAGAGGACGAGGATAATGCTTCAGATGATGGTAAAAAGGAGAAAGATGATAAAGAAAATGATTCTGTTGAAGATGCAAAAGAAAATGACTCTGAAGGTGATGATGATGCAAAAGATCAAGAGAGTGATGATTCTGAAGTAAGTTAAATTATAGAAAAACGTTTCTTCATAAAATTTGTCTATGTACTATTATTTCTTTCTTTCGCTTCACTTTATTATTTAGTTTTCCTTCCCATACTTTATTTTTCTTAAAATTTCTTCCCCATCTGTTTATGGACTATGTCAATTATTTATACGACTAGAGAACTTTGCATCTCTACTCTTCTTCCTTCTTTGCCATAACTTTGGAATGATTGTCATTTTGTGAATGAAATTTTTAGTAGTTGCATTTAAATTAATTTTGGTGTTAAGCATAACATTGAACTTGTTGTTTTAAGAGGTACTTATTTCTGGGTAATGAAAGAAATTTTTATTTGTTTTCTTCAGGAAACTTCATCTAAAAGCAAAAAGGGTGGGCGAGCGGGCAAAAACAACAAGAAGCAGGCTGCTAAAAAGCCTAAAGCAGCCACTAAGAAAGCAGAAAAGAAACAGGCCTTAAAGAAGAAAGCCAAAAGTGATGAAGAATCTTCTGCAGATGAACCATCAACAAAAAAATTGAAGGCACCTCCTACAGTAAGTGTCATCGCAGTAAATTCGTGAGATTGGCTGGTGAAAAACTAGTGAACTGTTTTAGACTGTGTCATTGAAGACATTTGTACTATTACTTTTATTACCATTAATTCTCTGGCTGTCACTTAAATTTGTCACATTTTATTTCACATATTTTGGTTGATTTTGAATATGCTATTAAACACTTGTTTTTGTATTATTTCAAAAATTTTGTCCTGTTACTTTGCCATAGTGTCACTCCAATATCAGTTGCATTTAGTTTAGAACACAGGTACTTCAATCTTTTTAATAAACCCTGAGAGGGTTTTTTTTTAGTTTTTAGTATCACTAAATATAATTTTTAAATCACCATGTCACTACAGGTAAAGGTTTTAGTATTAGGTTTTCAAACTCTGCCAGGGTGTGATCAGAATAGAAAAGAGGATTAACTCTTTGTTCAGAAGGTTGATTCATGCGTACGAACTTATATGCACAGAAATTTTCGTAACTAGATCTTAATTTTGGAAAATATTTCACTGCTATTTCACTGAAAAATAATTTTCAATATGGGCTGAATGTTAATACATTCAAATGAGAATAACGTTACTATAAAACAATGCAAAAACATTAAATAATTTTAAACAGTTTCTCGTTTGGCCTATTGAACTTAGTTTTCAACCCTTGAGATGTGAGACGTTTTAGAACTGTTGTGTGTCAGAATGTGATGTAGAGCCTAGGAATTTTTATGTTCTCAAACCTGGAAAACTGAAGGAAGCACTACAAAATTTAAAAGGCCTCATCATTGGCTTCTGTTCTAGCAAAAGGCAACAAAACAATTACTTTCTTGTTGAACTTATTTTACTGATTTTCATTATAAGTAAAAGGAAAAAAATCTGTGAAAATTGTATAAATGAATATAATGTGATAATTTAAATTTTCCAATCTGCCATTATTAATATTGATTCACTAGTCGAAAAGTTTCTGGACTCTTCTTATTGTTAAATTTAAAATGTTATAAACACCATTGAATCCAATTTTTTATCAGCAAAATCAAACTTAATTGCATTTATAGTTGTTTCAAAAACATATTGAAGTTTTGTTTTTGCTGTAATGTCTCTGAAACTACATACACACAATGTTTTTGCCATGAGGTTACTGATATCCTTATTTCGGAACTCTAAAACTTTATTTTTGTGTAAAATGAAATGCTAATTGCAGTTTTAGAAGAATTCATAGAAAGGATGCCCCAATTGGTCAAAAAAGTCCTTTCAGCCAAAGGGTTTGTTTGTTTTTTTATAAAAGAACGTTTAAGCTTAAAGTTAAAAACCAGTGATATTTTTGTTTCATAATTAGAAAATGTATGACATTACCGTTGTTTGTTACGTTTATTGTCTTTTAAAAAGTTGTTAAATAAACAAAGCTTCCCATTTTTCCCAAATAATCAGTGTTTTATTCCGAAATTTCTCGACCTGTTCCCTTGTCCGGAAACTTTTCGACAGCAGTATATTTACTGGTGCATGTTAATTAGGAAAACAGCATGGTACAGTTTAATGGAATATTATTATTTATTTATTTATTTTTTCTCCTTGGTCAGCAGTTAACTTTGGTTGGTCATTGAAGGCAATTCATCCTTGCATGCCCATTATGTTGGTGTCATACAATTACCACCAAGCACTCAAACGTTTTTAGTTCTCAGCCAAATTGCTTTAGTGTTGGGCTAAGATTTTTTTTTTAATGTGAACTTGGGTTTCAACTTTGTAAATGCTTGATCAACAATTTTTAGCAATTGACGGTGTAATGATATTTTTTGGGTGGTTTAAGAATACTATTTACATAAGAAATTGATTCTATCCATCAAGATAGTAATTTGATTCATTGAGGCCAGGAAATACTAATTAATCTCCTTCATACAGACAATTATAAACTTCCCTACAGTGTCTGGGCAAAAATATTAGCAAAAGTACAGCAGGTAGAGGGTAAAAGGCACCTACTTCATTTTGGCAGGTTTCCCTATCTTGGCAAAAGTGCTTTTGGCGTTGAAATGTGTCGTGATGCTATGAAAATGGAAAATGATGTAAAACTGAAAAGGCAGGTACAGAATACACAACCTAGGTAGATTACTTTTTATGAAGAGATGTGATATTGGGAGGCAGCACACCAAATTAAAAAGTTTTGAGTTGCAGTACGCATCGTAGATATGGGTTGTTTCACTGTCAATGTTATTTAACTTTGTATACCTGACTGCTCTCAGATTGTTGTATTTGAAGTGACATGAATTTTGGGCATCTTCCTTGCCTTGTAATGTAAAAGTTTGTCATTATTCATGTCATTCAGTCGTGTTCATTATTGTATGTTCACGTTTTGTATTAATCCTAGGGGATGTGAGAAGTAAATTTCATTCACAATTTAATTTTGATTGTTTGGTTCTTATATGAAATAAGTAACATAAAATGTTTTTTTATCTATTCTGCAGTAATTGGTATTTTTCTATCCAATACAAATTATGATAAAATCAAAACTTCATGACCTAAATGACACTTTGTGAGTCCCATTGCACAAAATGGTAATTTTTCTGGAGAACTTCCTAACTAGCTAATTTCTAAGATTAGAGATTTTGAAAGAAAGCAACAAATTTGCCTGGATTTTTATTTATTAATTTATTTTGACATTTTCTCACTCTTTTAACTGGTTACGGGCATGTCGAGCGAGTTGCATGGTGTGCTTAATCCTTATGACTGCCGACACTGCACTATCCTGTGCGGTGGTACACTGCACAGTTGGTTGAGCTGAATTTAGCATTTGTCAGCTGCAGTCATTTTGAGATTTTGGAGCAAATCCATAACCCATCACAGACACACAGAAAAAGCTTCAAACAACTTGACCGCCAAAAGGCAAGTAACTATAGTCGAAAGAAAATGAGCTAGAGATGACGAAATAGGACCCACTGTTTAGCAGGATTGAAAAGAAAATAGTGGTGGGAAGGTGTCAGTGTGGCCATAAATTTCTTTTTGACAGCTAGAGTGCAAAAGTCATCCCAACTTTCCTTGAACTCGTGATGTTGATAAAATTTTAAGAAACTTCAGCCCTTTTCACATTCGCTCAATTGAAGCAGATAGAAAGAATTTAAATTGCAGCCAAACCCCATGCCAAATTAGTTTATGTATGTACTTGGTGCGACAGCCCGTGGATGGGCTCAGGTGACATCCCTGCCTCTTGGTCATGGGTTAAAGAGGTATGTGTGGTTAGCATGTAGGTGTCCCCAATCCATATCCAGTCTTCTCAACCTAAGAAGTGAATTTTTTCTTCGTCACACATCGACATATATAGGGGCATTGCAAAGAAAACCCACACTATAATATTGACTGATTGCGAATCAAACCCGGAGTAGCATAGTGAAAAGTGAGCACACTCATCAAGTGCTAGCCACGATGCTTGAATGAGTGTCTAGCGAACCATAACAGCAATAAAACATGAAAAATTCAACAATAATGGGTAGACAAAGATATCAGAGACGCAAGTGGAGTTCTTGTAGGAGTAGAAATATCTAGGGAGTTACCTTGGAGGCCGAGAGCTCTGTGACCATGGTGACTGGACATCAAAATTGCATTGAGTGAACCTTTTATTTCAAGTGTGCATTGAGAGACAACAGGAAGTGCTTCTCAAAATATATTTCAGGATTATACATGCTTGTTCATTGTAGCAGCACATCTTATAGTAAAATTGAGATATGGATACTAATTTGGAAGGAAATAAATAAAAAATTGAAAAATTGTATGTAAGTTTTGTTGCTTTTTAAGAACATCTTTCTGAAAAGTTGCTAGAAGATCTATCTTAATCTGAGTTGGTTTGTTCTTGCCACGATTTCTTCTTATGTATTTGTTTATGACTGCCAATTTTGAATGATTGACTTAATTCAGTTTTTGAATGCTTTTTAGTGACTGAAGTAGGAATGGGGAATTAACAGTAAAATATCACTTAAATGTTTCTCAGAGGACAATGGGACAGATGGAAGAACATCGAAGTGAGAACAATTTATAACTGAATTAAATATTAAGAGCAAAACAAACATTCATTAGTTTTTCATTGGTCTGCTCCACTTTTGGATCTGTTCTCTGGAACTGCTACTTTAGATTTATTTAGGGGAGGTTTGCACATGTTTTTGCTTTCTTTCTTTTTTCCCCCCCTTTTTTTTGTGCTACAAAATCTCTTCCCAACATTCTAACAATAAATGGAGTTTCACTGTATATTTCAATTTATTTTGACTGTTTTTAAACTAGAGAAACTACATTAGCACAGGCTTGCTATATATTCATGTTTTTTCTTTCTTTTCTCTCCCCTAGTTATAAATTTATATTTCAATTATATCTTGCAAAACTCTTCACCAAACTGTTTTAATTGTTGGTTCAGTACATTCTCGTCCTCAGTGCTGCATAACTTATTGCCAAATTCGAAGGGCAACAAACATTTTTTCATTGGTGAGTCCTCTTAAGAGAATAGTGTTTAACAAAAGATGTGGCACAAAGAATCTGAGGCCCTTTTCAATTTAAATGTTTCAGCTCCCATAATGGCAAATAAATTCTTAAAATTTACCAGATAAACAAATAGCCTTGTAAAACAAGCCACTCATAAATTCTATTAATAGAGAGAACATCAATGAATACAGTGGATTATGTTTTGTTGTAGTATTATAGGTATTTTAGATTCAGATTGAAGTGGGGGAAATCCACAATTTTTTCTGATTTAAACTATCGTGTGACTTCTTAACTTTTCAAGACCATTTCGAATTAGACTAGGTGAATATTACTGAGTAAATATTTGAGCACATTTGATAGCAATGTTTTTGGCTTGCTTATGCTTCATAAGAGATAATTTGATGCTATTGTTTGACAAACAATTCATTAAAAGTTTAATAACTATTAAAGTAAATATTAATAAAGCACAAGTATTTTAAAAAAAAGAATATTTGTTCAAATAACTCAGAAGTTTTAATCAAAATGTTGCTGTTGTGTCAGGGTATTCAGGGT